TCAGACGTCACTGGCCTAGCGGTTCTTCAGCCCAATGGTAAAAGCGATCAATGTGTGGTTTCATTCCTCTGGAATCGAAGTCTTACTCTCTACAACCAAGGTCGCCTCAGCAGGAATTTCTGGTGTGTTGATCCCCAACGCCTACAAACGGCCGCCAGTAGTGTGGACTGGACGTGGACGACTAGTGGAACCTCTTGTACTCCAAAATGATTTCGCTCGTTGAGCAGGTCGTTCCTGTCTACAAAAGACCTTTTGCCAGAGGCCCTCCATAGATGGAATGAGAACTGAGGGGGCAAATGAACAAAAAACGGAAACTGTGGGTCCGATTCAAGGCCACGTAATCCGAGTCTGACTATTCGAAATATAAAGTGGCCAGAAATATCTGCAACTTGAAAAAACGAGAGAAACGGCATAAGTACGATTTGTACGGTTTGGCTGTGCAATCCATGACAACTCCCAAGGCACTCTTCTCTTACCTGAAGAGAAATACTAGAGCAGGCAGTGGTATTCCTGCTCTGTATTCTTTGGCGCATGTCGGTTTACTTGAGGATGACGCTGCGAAAGCCAGTCTCCTGGTCATGCAATATTCATCGGTTTACTCGATGGAGACGCCGTTTCCCAGTGACGGGGTGCCAATACTCCCTTCTTCGTTGGAGAATGTAGAAATATGCGCTGATGTTGTTGTCAAAGGCATTCGTGAATTAGATCCGAACTCCTCGCCGGGTCCTGATGGGTTGCATCCGCTGTTCCTGAAGACTGTGGCCGATTACATTGCCGCTTCTGTTTGCCAGTTATTTCGCCATTCCCTTGAACTTGGAAGAATACCGATTGGTTGGAAAGTGGGGATTGTTAAACCCATAGACAAAGGAGGGGACCGTCAAAATCCTGCCAATTATCGACCCATCTGCTTAACGTCAATATTGTGCAAGGCAATGGAGAGGATTCACAAGCGGGCAATTCTCCACCTCGAGAACCTAAACGTCATCTCTTGTGCGCAGCATGGTTATCGGCGGGCACGCTCATGTTCTTCGAATCTGCTTGTGGCCCGTGAAAGATGGGCGAAATCATTAGACGCTGGGAAACGTCTAGATGTTATTTTTATCGACTTCATCAAGGTCTTTGACAAGGTTCCTTATGAAAGGCTCCTTTATAAACTACGATTAATCGGTGTTTCTGGGAATGTTCTCTCTTGGATAGCTGATTTTTTGGATGACCGGACAATGCGAGTCGACGTGAACGTGATTTACTCTGCTCCTGACTACCCGTGTTCGATAGGGATCGGTCCTGGGCCCAGAACTTTTCAAAATCTTCATCGATGACCTCCCGTCGGAACCTCAGCTGGATTGCTTGATTTACGCTGACGACTTGTAGTAGTGAATAAAGGTATCCTGTCTTGAAGATGCGGACCGATTACAGGCTATACTTAATACGTTACATGAGTTGTCAGTCAAATGGCGATTGCCCATAAATCGTGATAAGTGCTCGGTCCTCCCCATTGGTGCTCCTGAGCCTTCCGGGACGTACCACATTGGTGGGGCGTTGCTCAGAACCTCCATCCTTGAGAAAGATCTCGGCTTGTTGGTGTCACCTGATCTACGGACTACACAGGACACGTTAAGAAGGGTTGCTGCCGCCAACAGTATGTACCATGTCATACGAAGAGCCTTCTCGCGTTTGACTCCGGATATCTTCAGACTGTTGTTTACTTCCCATTTGCGCCCCATTCTCGAATACGGATTACCTGCCGTCTTCCCTCTCACCAAGTTCGAATGTGACCTCATTGAGAAGGTCCAACGGCGGGGATCAAAATATATCTCGGAGGTAGGGGACTTGCCTTATCCCCTGAGACTTCAGCGGATGAACCTGTTCTCCCTGGATTATCGCCGACGTCGCGGTGACCTGATTTTTACCAGGCGCATCCTGAGAGGAGAGATGGCGACGGAGCCGCAGGCGTGTTTTCAATTCAATGCAAACAGTTCAACAAGGGGGCCACAACTGGAAACTGTTTAAACCCAGAAGGCTCCGAGTTCATCCTGCTCTCGCCCTATCAACTCGCGTAGTCAACGATTAAAACAACTTACCGAAGCATGTGGTCGATGCCCAGACTGAGGAATGTTTCAAGCGAATGTTAGATTCTTATCTTTTGAGTACGATGGGCCCTTGCAGCTTTCACTGTAGCTGTCACGGTCCCTTGTGGATTACCGCTTAACATCGAATCGCGGCCTCTACACAATGATCGGGAAGCGATGGAGCTGACATAGGATTTCTTCTTCTACTCTCTACAATTCTGACCGAGACACAAACAAGGCAGCAGCGTCTTGGCCAATAAGTAAAAGCCTGGATAAAATCCCAAGGACGACGATTACACACTTCGCGTCTCTAGGGACACTTAATCAGTAGATGAGGAAATTCATGAGTCCCGTATCGCGCATAGCATGCACTGTGAAGACAATATATGCCTGGATCACGGTGAAGGGCCACACGTGGGTGGCCCGACTAAGCACTCCGACAGCCGTTAACATGAACAGTTAGAAAAAAACGGTGCCGTTTTGCTGTGCCTTCCATCCACTTCAATACTAAGGCCGTTCAAAACAAATGCCACCGCAAATTCACACCTTTTCCGTAACCGTAGCGTTTCGTACTTATGCCCAGATTGGGTTTTCGCAGGAAAAAGAACAAAGAAGTCGGGACCGTCTCAACGTGGATGTCTACGAACTGACAACGGCAAGTGCTTTCCACAAGTGTGCGCCGACCACGACAATTGAACCGACGACACGGCCTCTCAGCGCACTCATCCGCAGTGAATGATGCGGGAACCGACCGAAAGTGGGATTAGGATATACGCGAATCAAACACACCGCCACTGACAGGTGTGAATAGTGCGCTCCAACCCACAAAGTTGCAGTTCGGATTGCAACATGCCCAGACAGTGATCATACTGTTACACGTAAACGAAATCAGAGCAGTAGGAAAATCTTAGTAACAAAGCGTAAAGCGGTACACTCCACTAAGCACATATGAGCACGTAAAAACGGTGTGTTTAGTCACATGAACGACTTCCAGTTCGAAGCAAATCAATACCGGACACTGATTGTTTGATACACAAACACGCAGGCACTCACACCCTAAGCAGGGTTAGTAGCCCTTCCGGCTGAATAGCGGTGGATGGATTTGGCATGACCGATGATCGTATCATATTCCTTTATGCATACTTGCATAGCGTTTTTCAGATCTCTGCAAATCGACCAAATCTGAAAAGTATTGCTGCCTCAACAATCACAGTGCATTCACTTGGATCTATGTCGCTGTCAATGCCGACGCAACATTAACGGTCCCCGTGAGAATCGAAAGGTTCACATTCTCAAGCTCCTTAACACAAACGTCATCAATCGATACCGGTCGCCGCTCTGTGCAAAAGCAACCGACAGCGACAACGACGCTACTGTGAAAACGTGAACACACCGATCGATCGCATGCCCCCTCCCCTTGAAACTATAATCGGTTGCGTACAAGCGATTAGAAGAGAATGATGAAACGAAGGTGCCACCCCATAAGCTGTCTTCGTGTATTACTCTTGGAATCCTGGGATTGCCTATTCGGCATCTGAAGTCACAGATCTCCAAATACCTCCACCAAGCCCAGCTAGATCGTCTGCTATTACTGGCGAACCAAATGAGTGCTGACGAGGATCGCCTATGGTGTGGCGTACAAAGCGCATTCATGGTTGCTTGTCCGCCAATGTTGAGGCGTCCAGATTGTGGATAAAGTTTCGAGGCTTGCACAAGCATGATTGGAGCATGGGGTTGAATATGTCGGAATATCCGTCTCAGAGTAGCCAAAATAGCCTGAGAACGTAAAATGGTACTTTCATATAAAAAGGTGCAAGAATGCGCTGGTACGTCGTGTCGACGCTTCGCTGCCCACATATATCTGCAACAGAGTGCAGGCTTAATATACTTGGAGATCGACCGCGCCTACTCTGGACCGACCCTGTCACATGCAGAGTACGAACCACACGCCAGCCAACTTGATTGATTGGGAAGCTTGGTAGAGTGACGAAGCAGCCTGTGCGACGGAGAACATCACTGTCGCCGGGATCAGCAAAGCATGAAATAACTACGAGCGACCAGTGATCAGGGAAGAGGGCTAAGACAAAGAAGTTTCGAAATGAACCGAAAGGCAGCTAGCTAGGGTCAGTTTAGATCCAATGTGCGTAAGTGGTGCAGAAAGCTGATCAATACGCACGTTGAGTGGGCGGGAGACAAGAACTTACTCGACGGCTCCGGTGAGATGGTATATTAACGCACAATTGATGGGCTTCAATCGATCAAATACTCCACAGCAATCTCCAAACCTAACTGAAAGTGAGCAAATCGTTCGGTCCCTCACCTTAAAATGTCACATGGTGTACAGTCACCTTTAGCATGCGTTAGCCAAAACACTTCTGTCTCTTAATGTATCTATCCGCATGCTACGTGACTGTCTACCGAGTAGACCGAACAAGCTCAAAGTACTCATGCAACCTGCTCTCTGTGTTTAGCGAAAAGTGTCAAACATTACGTGACTCTACTGACTTCACGGTCAATACAATAAATGTCAGAAATTCGGGAGTAGATGACTGAGCGGTATTTGCTTGGGGGACATGTGGAAACCAGTGTCCAGTAGGAGAAAGGGCCCACTTTATGCACATTGAACCCAACCTTTCTGCTATCATATGGGAGACAAAATGATACAAGAGAAACTTAAAAACGAGTAATCGATAAGATAGCCGCCCACGTAGTAACAAAATACCCCGAATAGACTGATGGAATAATAGTGCCAAATAAGCAAGTAAAGGCAAAAGAGATTAATCGAGACATGGGCGTATCACAATATGTTGGTGTAGGACAGGATCACTGACGGCAGTGAACGTTAGTCCCGTTAAAAGTGAACGAAGGAGTTGGCGTTATATCACAAGGAGAAGTTGTCAGTCGGGGAGGGGGGTCTGGCATGCTGATAAATTATGACAGGACACAACCGCTTTCGTTGTTCGGATCTTTATCTGTGTTGAAAATCGGTTTTTCGTGTATGGCTTCCACGGGAGCGTCACGTTCGGGTTTCTCCTTTCGCTCTTTGGCCCGAGACTGATGGACACGAAAGAGGAGAAGAACGGAAAATGAGTCAAAGAACTGCTAACTAAATGGGGAAGGCAACGGTCAACGAGAAAGCTTATCCGAATGCGGTAACAACAAAGGAATGTGCGATCGCCAGTATCGAGATATGCAGTGTACGATAAGAGCTTTCGAGTCCAGATGATCCGCCTCACAATCGCAAAGATAATACTGCGTAGCACAGTACCACATGCCATTTCACATCGCGGGCGGCGAGCGTTATCTAGGCAGTGAACTCTATTGAGAAATATTGGCAGCTTTGTCAGGATTGGCGGACAATGGGAGCCAGCAGACACAGAGGGAGTCGGTGGAGTATGCGCGACTCAGCTGGTGCGCATGTATTGAGACTTTACATGGCATAACTATTATTCGGTATCAGTGATGTGCTTGGAGTCGTCACCTAGTTAGACTGTTTAAAGTGTGTCTGATGCTGAGTTATCTGTGAGTTAGGGCTGGTTAAGACGAGGAACAGTGAAATCTGTAAGGAAACCGTTTAACTGGTATCGCTCCATCTCCGGCAATTTGCGGCTGTGTATTGCTGGTAAGACGCGGGCGTCTTGACCCTGAACGTTTGTCAAGCACATGTAGGTCCTACTCTACTCTTCATCTTAGTAATCCGCACTCCCTAGTTGTCATGGTTGCGCGGCAACAAAGCATTATTCCAAGTTGCTATTATTGTTAATGATGATGACAAGTGCGCAAGCAGACGAGAAAGCATTTGGTGACGTTTGACTCCAAATCGGAGACAAGGAATCTGGTATTTTCAACCAAGGGTTTGTATGGGAAAAACGGGGAGAAAATTTCCAGGATAACCCCATCGGTGATTATGAGTTGGTGGAAGAGATTTTCGTGCACATTTTGGCGAATGGTAGATACTATTGTTATGACGTTTGTAGGTAAGCCGAGTCATAAGCAAAAATGGCGACCAAAGCTGTGATCCTCAACGATACGAGCAATAAACTTTGCCGCGTCACCAACAGAGTGCGATCACAAATGAGTATTATATAAGCAATGAGAGTAAGATGAGGAGAGATATCCAAAAATAAAAGACGAAGTCAACCACTCACATCTCTTTCGATAATCGCCTCTAGCAGCTTTGTCTGATTGAAGCCCATGTAGGCGTCTTTCCAACGAGGATCGGGAGTTAAATCGAGTTCTGGAGCTTTAGGCTCTACGAGGCCAAAGGTCGCTTTCAAGTCGAAAACTGGCGCTGCCGCAGGTACTCGTTGATGAAAGCTAAAACATCGCAGAGTATAAAAGCGACTCTGAAGGTGTGAGCATAGAAGTAAGCACAAGTAGCACAGAAAACGAAATGTGATGTGTCCCGGATTACTAGATAGTCTCCGCCGAAAATACCGTACACGCGACAGACGGCTAACAAAGCCATGTAAAGAAATATCGGAGATTGAGCAGTATTAGATAACATGTCAAATAGGAACACTCATTGTTCACGTGCTAGCGTACGTAATGTAAGAAGAGAAAAGGAACCAAGCCATTGGATAATCGTCTACAAACAGGGTTTTAAAGTTAAAGAAATGCATTCCAGTTCAAGTAAACTAGTTCGCTCCAGTGACATCAAAGAGCAAGGGAAAATTTTCTGTTATGAATACAACGACCCGGACAAAGGAAATCGCCTAGTCCAATGAAAGATGGTCCAGCACACGTCATATTTGTAGGAAGGACGGTAAAAACCGCATTTGGGTCTTCTATCGAGTAACAAGGACGTATCTGATTGCTCTTATGAGAAATCGGTATCAAGTCACTCTCTGAACGCCTAGATGGAGGATGCATCATCTAACTAGGATAACTACGATTGATGGGATGTTATTTAGTCCATCGCAATCAGATTACAAGCCAGAGAGACCAAGTACCAATCCGGAAAACACCGGATGGCCGTTTCGTCCTCTTGGAACTGGTCAGTGGTGCATTCGCTCGGTCCCCTTCCGGGGAGCGAACCCATGCTCAATAGTGGCCTGCATCACTAGCCAACTGACCACCATAGCCAGAAATCTAACTGCGATATGGCCCGACACATCCTCCACTACCATGCAGGTTCCTGTCTGTGCAAAGGACAGTGGTTGGCTCTGATTACGATGAATTAAAAATCTCACCAAAGCCCTCTACTCGAGAGTAGGCAAAAATTACGTCCAACAGTCTTTGGAGCGATGCGTGGATTCATGGCTAGTGGTAGGGAAGTACAGACAATCGAGGGCCAAGTACTAGTACTGTCCTCTGGAATCTAGTTAGTATTCGCGGCAAACATGGTGATAACAATATCATCCAGTCAGATTATTCTGATGATGAAAAACAGTTGCTGATGAACTGGATGACTTTAGGGATGCAGTAGGTTGGATTGTGAGCTGAAGCACCGGTAGGGCGTATTTTGAGAGGCTAGTCGGCCAATGTGACCGACCTCCATAATCCAAATGCAGATACACACTTGAGTCCCTTGGTCTGACTGCGCTGTCAGCACCTATGCTCAGTGTAACTTTAAGGTCAGATGCGCATCGGTGTATGGATGCACCAGCAACGGAAACGCTAAAGACAGTAGCCCGCACAAATGGAAACCGAAGCTTATATCCGGAGGTGTGTGTGACGCCGCACAATGACCAACACTTGATAAACATCAGAAGAGTCCTGGCGAGTCAGCCCCACCAAAACACGTGGAGTTGGTGCACGACACAACAGAATTTGAGCACAAAAATGAGGACTATTGTCACCAATGGTTGAGCTTCGAGGTGAGAAAAAACCATCAGCCTCTATCAAAACCTTTAATGGAAGGACGTTGTCTGTCCGAGCAACAATCATCGATCCGTCTGATGGGGAAAGTAACCACTAGAATAGCGGAATGGATGACGTGGAGCTGAATGAAAACTATCGTAATGCGCGAGAATCAAATCGAATCGGAGATAATTTGACTCTATAAAAATTTGCTAGATATTCGCACGCGTGTCATCAGCACTCCCAGATGAGCAAGATTTTTAATGATTCAGGAATGGACATGAAGGATACGTTAGTGGGAGTGGAACCAAAGCGCGTCCCATACATTCAATGCTAGTATTCATTCACTATACACCTAAGGTGGGAAACACCTGGGCTATTGTGTCGCAATACATAAGAAAATAAAATAAAAAATACTTACAACAGGTGCACGCCAGCCAAGCTACCAGTAACGGAATGGCATCGTTGTGGAAAGTTACCAGCCGGCTACTATGCAGCAAAAAAACTTGTTATGTAAAACTTGTATTATGAAAAGGAAAAGAGATCGCGACTGGAGGTAGAGACTAAGTGTGATAGAGATGGACAAAGAAACACACAACAAAAACGCCACTGCGGTCGGCTCCTAGCCATGCCAGCAAGTGTATCCAGCCAAACGTGTTCACCGTCGTTCGGACCCCAACCAGGGGGCATAGAGGCTCAAACCGAGGCTAACTTCGAACTAGGGACTTTCATTCCTCTTGACCAAATCATCGCTTGGCCACCTCTTCTCTTCTTCCATCCGCACCCCCGGCGAGTAAACAACGTACGTCGCTGGAGTCGGTGGGCTGGCAAGCACAACACATGACCCATCCATCGGAGGGTGGTGCGTGATATAACAGTGCTCAGCGGTTCATTTTCTCTTCCTGTACCATAAACAAAGCGTGGAACACGCACGCTGCTCACGCGATGTTCCCACCAGATGTGAGCCAAACTACGAAGGCACTGGTGCTCAAACATAACTAGCCTCCTAATGTCTGCTGACCTAATAGGTTAGGTTTCACAGTCGTAAAGGAGGGTTGAAAGGACGGCAGCATTGTACACTCTAGTGTTCAAGGAGAGGGAGTGATGTCGCGTCGGCGCCATAGGTGGCGAAGGTTAGCAAAAGCGCCTCGAACTTTTGCTACACATCTCGTGATCTCGTCTCCGATCCCAAGGACGCTGATACAACTTCCCAGTTAGTTGAGTTTTTGAAGGACTTCCAGCTGATCCCTATTGAGGGTCAGCGCATGAGGCGGTGCAAATCGTAGCCCGAAAAAGCTGTCAGCTAGTGCTAATCTGTCCAGTGCCGCTTGGCCTGTTTGGGAGCTGTCACAGATGAGGGCAATATCGTCAGCATATTCAGGAAGCCTTTCGCCTGAGAACAGCTACACAACTAAATCGTGTCGAGTGAACGCGATCTCCATGACTTCGTCAATGGCGAAGTGGAAGAGAAAATGTGACAACGGGCATCCCTGTCTCACACCACTGGAGATAATGAAGGGAAGCGACAGCTTGCAGTAAGCCCTCACACTGACCGAGCTACGCGCACACTATACAGGGATAATATTTACATATTTCTCGGGCACACCATTGCTGAGTAGACATTTCCAAAGGGCACATCGATCAACCGATTCGAATACACCTTTGATACCGAGGAACAGGACAACGATGGGCTGCCAATATATGTGACAGTGCTCCAACAGCTGACGCAAAGTGAAGATGTGGTAGATGAAGCCACGACCTTGACGAAATCCGGCTTGCTCTTCACGAATACGGCTTTCACGAGTTATAGTCAGTTTGTGAAGGATGACAAAGGCGAGCAATTTGGAGGCGACGGAGATCAGACTGATTCCTCTATAGTTACCGCATTAAGATCGTGAGCTCCCTTGAAAACTGGGACTATAACGAGTGAATCCAGTCTGTTGGGACAGTTCTCTGCTCCCACAGTTTCACTAGTAACTCGTGCAAATCATTCACAAGAGCAGGCCCCTTGAATTTGAAGAGGGCTGGATGAAGAGCATCTGGTCGCGCGGCCTTATTCAACTTCAAAAGTCCGAGCTGAAGTTCGGCTTCTGTGCGAGAGGGCGTATTCAAAGGGACAGCCCACGGAGCAAGGTGATCAGTAGCCAGGGAGAAATCTGGCGATTCCGACATTTGAAGCTGACTTTCAAAGTGCTCAGCCCAAGGCTCCAAACGTTTTGACAAGTTATGGATAGGCTGTCCACGCTCACCACGTATAGTTTCACTAACATCAGGTCTCCTGCTGCCCGTTTTCCGCAGACAGAATAACTTTCGATGGTTACCAAGGACAGCGGCCACTTCCATCCCTGATGCACGATGAAACCAAGATACACGGTCTCTCCTCGGGTTAACACAGAGTTCTGCTCGGAGGTTTTTGCGAGTCTCATTGTGTTCGGTTCCAGCAGGATTGTGCCGGCGAGCATCGATAAGTTCTAGAGACTGCGAAGAGACCCAATGTCCATGTTGGCTATTAGACTAACCACAAGATTTGTTTGCTGCTAGTAAGGTCTGGTCTATGTGCGGAAGAGCCTATGGCGCTGAGGCTGGTTGTGGCTAGATCTTGACAGACGATCTACCCACTGCTGCTACTGTTGCGCCATTGGTTCATGTCCTGGACACCTCCTCGTGGCGACCGCTGGAAGGGTGTTGGGGTACGCCCTTCTCCCTGCTAAGATCCAGGACACCAAACCGCATGAATCAGTGAACTGACCATGTGCTAGACCCACTGCCTTTCGGATGTACACTTAATCGAAGGCTTTGGCTGAAGACCCGAGTCGTTCTCCTTTCAGGTGTGGCCGCCCTGTCAGTATCCTAGTCCATCCTCTTCGGAGGTTAGAAAGTGGTCGATGGCCCTCTTCCCGTAAAACCTAGCCATGTGAGACAATAGGTCTACGGGTTATAAGCTCACAGCTCGATTGGCGTAGAGCACGAGTGACACGCATTGCCTCTGACGGTGGGAGGGCATCTCCGGGCGTTCAATGGTTTGCTATTGCCCGCCCAAAGCTAGGCAGCCCCTGATCAAATTGCTGCAAACACGCCAAAACCCACCTGCGTCTGGCCGTGGTCGCAGGCGCGTATCCTACTACGGTCGCAAAACATTTATGAATCGTTCCAGTACCTCAAAGGCTGAGTGTGACAGCCTACAGGCAGATCCCAATCTGCCTTTGCAATCACATTCCCGAGCTGGAGCTGCTCCCCACCGCACTGTGGGTAAGGCTATTGAGTCAAAGGCTCCGGACGGAGTCTCTCAAGCAAACCACCGAAGCACAACCGTTACCTCGCGTGCGATTGCACACCAATGCAATCGTACGTGTGCGCGCAAAGCACCCAGCATCGGGTGCTGGAACATGCGTACACTACTGGACCGGAAATCCAATGAGAGCCCCGAGCGACGCACTGCACTGGTCGCGATGGAACTGGCGCGCTACAACATCGATATTGCGGCGCTCAGTGAAATCCGGCTCGCTGAGCAAGGT